GTTATTACTGCATCAAGCCGGTGTTCTGTTATTACTGCATCAAGCAGGTGTTCTGTTATTACTGCATCAAGCCGGTGTTCTGTTATTACTGCATCAAGCCGGTGTTCTGTTATTACTGCATCAAGCAGGTGTTCTGTTATTACTGCATCAAGCCGGTGTTCTGTTATTACTCCATCAAGCCGGTGTCCTGTTATTACTGCATCAAGCCGGTGCTCTGTTATTACTCCATCAAGCCGGTGTTCTGTTATTACTGCATCAAGCCAGTGTTCTCTAAGGACTCCACCAAGCCAGTGTTCTCTTAGGACTCCACCAAGCAAGTGTTCTCTTAGGACTCCACCAAGCAAGTGTTCTCTAAGGACTCCACCAAGCCAGTGTTCTCTTAGGACTCCACCAAGCAAGAGTTCTCTAGGACTCCACCAAGCAAGTGTTCTCTAAGGACTCCACCAAGCCAGTGTTCTCTTAGGACTCCACCAAGCAAGAGTTCTCTTAGGACTCCACCAAGCAAGTGTTCTCTAAGGACTCCACCAAGCCAGTGTTCTCTTAGGACTCCACCAAGCAAGTGTTCTCTTAGGACTCCACCAAGCAAGTGTTCTCTTAGGACTCCACCAAGCAAGCGTTCTCTAAGGACTCCACCAAGCAAGTGTTCTCTTAGGACTCCACCAAGCAAGCGTTCTCTAAGGACTCCACCAAGCAAGTGTTCTCTTAGGACTCCACCAAGCAAGTGTTCTCTTAGGACTCCACCAAGCAAGCGTTCTCTAAGGACTCCACCAAGCAAGCGTTCTCTAAGGACTCCACCAAGCAAGTGTTCTCTTAGGACTCCACCAAGCAAGCGTTCTCTAAGGACTCCACCAAGCAAGTGTTCTCTTAGGACTCCACCAAGCAAGTGTTCTCTAAGGACTCAACCAAGCCAGTGTTCTCTTAGGACTCCACCAAGCCAGTGTTCTCTTAGGACTCCACCAAGCCAGTGTTCTCTAAGGACTCCACCAAGCAAGTGTTCTCTTAGGACTCCACCAAGCCAGTGTTCTCTAAGGACTCCACCAAGCCAGTGTTCTCTAAGGACTCCACCAAGCCAGTGTTCTCTTAGGACTCCACCAAGCCAGTGTTCTCTTAGAACTCCACCAAACCAGTGTTCTCTTAGGACTCCACCAAGCCAGTGTTCTCTAAGGACTCCACCAAGCAAGTGTTCTCTAAGGACTCCACCAAGCAAGTGTTCTCTAAGGATTCCACCAAGCCAGTGTTCTCTAAGGACTCCACCAAACCAGTGTTCTCTTAGGACTCCACCAAGCCAGTGTTCTCTAAGGACTCCACCAAGCAAGTGTTCTCTAAGGACTCCACCAAGCCAGTGTTCTCTAAGGACTTAACCAAGCCAGTGTTCTCTAAGGACTCCACCAAGCCAGTGTTCTCTAAGGACTCCACCAAGCCAGTGTTCTCTAAGGACTCCACCAAGCCAGTGTTCTCTTAGGATTCCACCAAACCAGTGTTCTCTTAGGACTCCACCAAGCCAGTGTTCTCTAAGGACTCCACCAAGCCAGTGTTCTCTAAGGACTCCACCAAGCAAGTGTTCTCTAAGGACTCCACCAAGCAAGTGTTCTCTAAGGACTCCACCAAGCCAGAGTTCTCTAAGGACTCCACCAAACCAGTGTTCTCTTAGGACTCTACCAAACCAGTGTTCTCTTAGGACTCCACCAAGCCAGTGTTCTCTAAGGACTCCATCAAGCAAGTGTTCTTTAAGGACTCCACCAAGCAAGTGTTCTCTTAGGACTCCACCAAACCAGTGTTCTCTTAGGACTCCACCAACCAAGTGTTCTCTTAGGACTCCACCAAGCCAGTGTTCTCTAAGGACTCCACCAAGCAAGTGTTCTCTAAGGACTCCACCAAGCAAGTGTTCTCTAAGGACTCCACCAAGCAAGTGTTCTCTAAGGACTTCACCAAGCAAGTGTTCTCTAAGGACTCCACCAAGCAAGTGTTCTTCTGTAAGGACTCCACCAAGCCAGTGTTCTCTAAGGACTCCACCAAGCAAGTGTTCTCTAAGGACTCCACCAAGCCAATGTTCTCTAAGGACTCCACCAAGCAAGTGTTCTCTAAGGACTCCATCAAGCAAGTGTTCTCTAAGGACTCCACCAAGCAAGTGTTCTCCTGTAAGGACTCCACCAAGCAAGTGTTCTCTAAGGACTCCACCAAGCAAGTGTTCTTTCTCTAAGGACTCCACCAAGCCAGTGTTCTCTAAGGACTCCACCAAGCAAGTGTTCTCTAAGGACTCCACCAAGCAAGTGTTCTCTAAGGACTCCACCAAACAAGTGTTCTCTAAGGACTCCACCAAGCAAGTGTTCTCTAAGGACTCCACCAAGCAAATGTTCTCTAAGGACTCCACCAAACAAGTGTTCTCTAAGGACTCCACCAAGCAAGTGTTCTCTAAGGACTCCACCAAGCAAGTGTTCTCTAAGGACTCCACCAAGCAAGTGTTCTCTAAGGACTCCACCAAGCCAGTGTTCTCTAAGGACTCCACCAAGCCAGTGTTCTCTTAGGACTCCACCAAGCCAGTGTTCTCTAAGGACTCCACCAAGCCAGTGTTCTCTAAGGACTCCACCAAGCAAGTGTTCTCTAAGGACTCCACCAAGCAAGTGTTCTCCAAGGACTCCACCAAGCAAGTGACTCCACCAAGCCAGTGTTCTCTAAGGACTCCACCAAGCCAGTGTTCTCTAAGGACTCCACCAAGCCAGTGTTCTTTCAGCACTACACTAAGCCAGAGTGCTCTTACCACTACACCAAGGCAATTATCTCACTAGCAAACCAAGCCAGCGTAATAAGCTCCACCCGTCCATGTTTATTTTTGACACTGTTGATTTTAACTAAGTTGGTGACTTAATGGGGTTTAAAGTCTATCTACTACACGAGGGTCATTAAGGTTACATGTTACTTGTACACTACTAGTCAAGAATACTTTAATACCTAAATTAGTGATTAAAGTAATTTCTCAGTGTATATATACTTAGTGGTATATACCTCTCAGTGTATATACACTAAGAGGTATATACCTCTTAGTATTTGTATCCTTGTGGAAAGTTAACTATGAATTATTTTCTGGTAATCTTGACACTGCCTGCTGCCACGGTTCGAGTCCTTCCCGATCCTTGAGATAGTTATTTACATTCTCGCTATTACGATTTTTCGCGAATAACATCAAGATAGAAGGAACAGAACGACAAAAATATAAACTGAAGTCCTGAGATATATAAATTGTTTTAGAAATATCCAGAAATATATATATATATATATATATATATATATATATATATATATATATATATATATATATATATATATATATATATATATATATATATATAATATAATATATATATATATATATATATATATATATGTCGTGCCGAATAGGCAGAACTTGCGATCTTGGCTTAAATAGCAACGCTCATCTTGCCATATAGGACAAGTGAAAATTTGTGTATGCAATAATTTCGCCAAAATCATTCTGAACCTAACGAAAAAATATATTTCACTGTGTTTGTTTAGTATCAAACTATTGTAAACAAATCTAAAATATATTTAGTTGGGTTAAGCTAAAATAAATTGCACTTGTTATAATTAGGTTAGGTAAGTTTTCTAAGTTCCTTTTGGTGCAAAATTATAAATTTTTACATCAACATTAATGAAAAAAATATATATTTAAACGTATAAGAGAAAATTTTACAAAGGATTTAATTTTAAATGAGTTCTTGCTAATTGACCAGTTTTACATATTCGGCACGACATATATATATATATATATATATATATATATATATATATATATATATATATATATATATATATATATATATATAATATATATATAGATTCCAATACAAGGTCCCAATACCAGGTCCCAGTACAAAGTCCCAATACCAGGTCCCGATACTAGTTCCCAATACCAGGCCCCAGTGCTAGTTCCCAATACCAGGTCCCAATGCTAGCTCCCAATACCAGGTCCCATTATAGTTACCAATACCAGATCCCGATACTAGTTTCCATTACCAGGCCCCAGTACTAGTTCCCAATACTGGGCCCCAATACTAGTTCCCAATACTAGGCCCCAATACTAGTTCCCAATACCAGGTCCCAATACTAGGTCCCAACGCAAGGTCGCACTGCGAGGACCCAATTTATTGTAGATTCGTACGGAAGCGCTAAACCCGTGAGGGTCACAATATGAGTTGATCCAAGGAACATAAAGGATGACTCCGGTTCCTTGGATCAAGAGCCCTTCATTAAAAGCGTACAGGGATAATAAGCACAAAAATTACGTAAAAATATATGTAACGATATAAGGAGCTTTAAGCTCTAAAAAAGCTCTAAGCTCAAAAAAGCTCTAAGAATCGAGGGAGGTACTAAATTAGCTCTAACTAAGCTCAAGATTAAAGAAAGCTCTAAGTAAGATGCGGGAAAGTTCTAAGAATTCTTTAAATTTAAAAAAAAAAATGAAATAGATCTAAGAAATCTATAGAAAAACAGAAAGTAGAGAAGCTTTCATTCTGAAGAGTTCTAAGTAAGCTAAGCTCTAAGAATCTAAGAAGTAAAATCTAATAAAGCTCTAAGGATGGTATTAGAGCTAATAAGACTCTTATAAGCTCTAAGGAAGTTATAAGTTAGATGTAAGAAAGCTCTAAGAATTCTCTAATGAGGTTATAAAATCTAAGAAAGCTCTGTCAGATGTGAGAAAGCTCTAGGTATCTCCAGTTAAACTCTAAGCCAGATTTAAAAACCTCTAAAGTCTAAATGAACTCTAGGTAAGCTCTAAGTCAAGTTTAAGCTGTAGGAAATTAGCTTTAAGTAAGATTTAAAAGTCTTCTAAATAAGCTTTAGGTTCAAAGCAGAAACTAGCTAAGAAGACACCTTGGAATATGAAAGTCTAGAGAAAAGAACATTACTATCTAGAAGGCAGAGCAGAAACTAGTAAATTAGGTGAGACCGACCCCAGGAGAACTGGTCAGACAGGTACTTACACTCTCTAGGTACCTGACCGTCCAAAGGCGTCCACAATAATAATGTTACTGCAAGGTATCCAGCGAGATTTTTCATGGTTCTCGGCTTTTTGAGGTGGAGGATTTGGACACTGGTTTATCGAAGTGGTGGTGGAGGAGGGGGGTTGGAGGTGCTGTAGGTGGCGTTGTAGTGGTTTGTTTGTCCTTTCCGAGGATAGGGTATAGTCCTGGGTGAGCTGGGGGTTAGTAGAGTGCCATGGTGAGAAGGAGCCACGAATACGACGGTTCCCGTATTCTATACATGCGGGTTGTTGGCACTCTACTACACGCTTTCGCTTCAGGGGTGTGGATCGGGGTTTGTAGGGTTGTGGGTGGTAAACACACGGGGGGGGGGCACCTGTCTCTTACGGCTGTGGGATACCAACTGACAGGGGTTGCAACTTTCACAATTGACTTGAGTCCCACACCAGACGTGGATAAAAACTCTCAGCCAAACCTACCAGTGAAATCCTCGTGCATTCCGTTTTCTATGTGCCGGAGATTCCAACTACCATAAACACCAACTCGAATCTTGAGTTTTAAATCAGTTATCCCATTTCGTAAACCACATTTACCTTCAACTTTGCCAAAACTACATCTAATAGTGCTTGGAAAAGACTCCGAACTAGCTGGCTAGGAGCTAGGAAGGATTTAGACAACAGTGTTGCTAGGATGGGTGATCCTGGGAGTAAGGGGGAGGGGTACTAAGGTATATCCCGGACTATTGCATTCCTGCCAGAGAAACTGGCCTCCTTATGTGTAGGGAGGAGGAGAAGCAACGTGTTTCGAGATAAAAGACTGAGGCATGACCAGAAAAAGTAATTTTTTATAGTTATGCCTCGAATATTTAATATCGCAGCGGGTTGAACTTAACACTGCATATATTTACAACTCATTATATATAGAAACAGGACAAGTGTTTCCTGACGCGGGTCTTGGATGATGACCCGCCGTTGGAGTTTTTGGTCATCTGACCGAGGCCTTCCGCTGGCTTATCCCTCCATTTAACAATTATAGTCAGTGTTATAACCATATGCCACAGAAACAAGACGTGTGACTCTGGTTTGGAATATAGGAAGTGTAGGTATGGGATGTTCCAATTCACTTACGTATGTGAGAGACTTGGCTACTATGGTTGTGAATTGTTGCTTGTAAAGTCTGTGTCATCACATAATTGTCCAGGTGAAAGCGGTTAAGTAAGCAAGTAGGTGTATTTGGGTACAAGTACACATAAGTACACTTACACAAATTTAGTTGATTACAGATAAATATAGTAAGATGTGAACTTAGTTCAAGTCGTAATGAACGACTGTATACTGGAGTATACCTGGAGAGGATTTCGGGGGTCAGCGCCCCCGCGGCCCGGTCTGTGACCAGGCCTCACGGTGGATCAGGGTGTGATCAACTGTCGATGACTAAACAGAACAGCGGACGAGGGATCGAACTGTGGTCCCGAGAAAAAGTGCTAGACCTGTTAATCTCGGGACCAGGTTCGATCGCTCCCCCTGTCCACCTTTGTGTTGATTCATAGTAACATATATGCAAATTACCTAGGATAACGCAAAAAAAAAAAAGTCAAACAAATTGACTTATTTCCATTGGGATCCTTGTAATATCTTATTATTTAAAGCCTGGCAGTAAGATACAGCATTATTATTATTATTATTATTATTATTATTATTATTATTATTATTATTATTGTTGTTGTTGTTGTTGTTGTTGTTGTGTTGTTGTTGTTGTTGTTGTTATTATTTTATTATCATGGAGAGCGCTAAACCCGTAGGGATTATACAGCACCTGTGGGGGCGTGAACTCAAAGTAAACAAGATCTCCATAAAAATAATAATAATAATAATAATAATAATAATAATAATAATAATAATAATAATAATAATAATAATAACAATAATAATAATAATAATAATAATAATAATAATAATAATAATAATAATAATAATAATAATAATAATAACAATAATAATAATAATAATAATAATAATAATAATAATAATAATAATAATAATAACAATCCTTATTTCTACAAGTATACCCAGGTACCTATTTTATTGATAGTTCGATCCCCGTACCGGGGATCGAACCTCGGACCTCAGTGTGTGAGGTGAGTGTGCTACCAAGCGAGTACAAACTACTCCAACGATACAGAGGAAAACACTATGACAGATAAGGTCACTCCTAGCGGAAGGTTTCATTGAACAAATGTTCTGAACTGTACACAAAGGTTCTCTTCCTGACTCTGTACCACCGTGCCATTGCAGCCACAGAAAAACCTACCGGGGTGTGGCATAGCCTTTACGACCTTCACAGTGTTAGAGCAGGTCACAAATTACCCTAGAAGCAGGTAGAGTCTAGAGCAGTGATTCATATGCAAAGCCTAGATAAACAGATGGGCTCACTTTTCATCAACGGAACGTGAGGTAACTCGAAATACTGAATATGACAGATAAATCCCTAATCCTATGGGCTATAATTTCTCCCAGGGGTTAGCAGTTAATAGTCACGGGAAGGTGACAGTCAGAGGCTCTTGATGCTGACTTCTGAACGACACGTCGTGTGTTGATTTCCGTGTTTATCACGAATGTGGAAAATAACCAGCTAAAACTCCCTACGAACAACAGTAATAACGGCAACAATAGCAACAACAGCTACTACATCATCATCAAGAACAACAGCAACAAGAAAAGCAATGACAATAATACAGCCACCAACAAAATCAGCAACAACAGCAACAAAATCAGCAACAGCAGCAACAAAATCAGCAACAACAGCAACAAAATCAGCAACATCAGCAACAAAAATCAACAAGAAAACCAGGAACAAGGGGAGGGAATCCGAAAGAACAGAACCAACAACAAGAAAAACAAACACAACAACAGCAACATCAAAACCATC